AAGCAGCCTGGCAGACAGCCCCTAAAAAGCACCACCGTGCCCAGCACCGACCGGCCCAACGCAGGGATGGGCTGCAAAGCAAGGTGCCATCTCCCCCCAAAGCACCAGCAGAGCCCGAGGGCACGGGGAAGGGGCTGGCAGCCCCCAGCATTGCAGCCCGTGCCCCTCTGGTTGTCAGATATTAACAAGGGAGCAGCTGATGTTTCTCTCTTGGTGTGTTTTCACTCCTGTCGCCAGAGACCTGGTTAGAAAACACACAAAAAAGCCCTTCAGTGGTCTCGTCGCCTTTAACGCGTTGTTTTTCTACATATTTTATGTTGTTGGCTTTTGTTATCAGTCTCATCTGCAATTTGTGGCCAATTCTGTCATGCTTTAGGCAGACATCTTGTTCCCAAAACTGTTTGCAGCCTTTCAGCTACAGTACAGTGGCGAATACAGCACGAGGCCGGCTGCGGCACAACGAGAAAAGGGCAGATTTAACCCCAAAATCACTCTCAGCTTGGATCCGCTCTCCACAGAGGGCAGGTGGGCAGCGGGCAGCTCCAGCCTGGCACAGCAGCCCCTCTGGATGCCACGGCACAGGCAGGGCCGGCACGGCGCCATTTCCCAGTGCTTTTCACCCAAAACTCAAGGCATCCCATTCCTGTGCTGCTCTTAGGGTCCCGGGGAAGCAGGAGGTGCTGGGGCAGCCCACGCGGCCGCAGCAATGCCCCCACAGCCTCGCCAGCCCAGCGCCACGGCCATTAAATCACTTGAACTCTTATTTACCACCGAAAACAAACGCCGCCGACCCGGCGCGTATTCAGTATTAATATCGAAACCAAAAAGCAAATTAATACCGCAGAATCAAGGTATTTAAAAATAAAATGAAAGTCACGCTGGGGAGGGCCGGTTGCCGCGCTGCCGAGCGCGTCCCGTGGGCTGCAGACCCGGCATCCACCGGCCAGCCTGGAGAGGGGCTCAGCAGCACCATTTTGTGCCGCTGCCCACGGCTGAACGAACGCTGCCGTGCTGGGCAGGAAGGGAGCGTGGCCAGGCCCCACGTGGCACGGAGTCAGCGGGAGCGAGGGGCCGCATTCCCAGCCGTCCCCGTGCCCCGAACGGCTGCCCGTCGCTGGGGTTTTTCCACCCAGCCACCCACTGCGGGCAGGGGGCATGACACACGCCGAAACCCCGCTCCCCTTCCTGGCCCTGCCGCCGTCGCCTCGCCGCCTCCCGCTCGCCCGAGCCCACAACGGTTTCCGCGAAAGGGCTGGAGGCAGAGGCGGCTCTGGACGAGGGGAGACAGCCACAATTTCAGCCCCTCTGCTGAGGGGTGCCGTGCGGCCCTGACATCCCGGGGGGCTCTGCGGGGGGACCCCACCACCACCGCACCGCATGCGCCGAGCTCCCGGACCCCCCGGCCCCCGCTGGTGGCCCCGCATCCCTGGCACACGTGGGCCGTGCCGGGGGGTCCGGTAGCCCCCGCCAGCAGGCTTTTATGCACTGAAACGGAGTGAAAAATAAGCGTGCCGCGGGTCTCCTGACGCCGTCTGCACTTCCTGTGACTACGCGCGGCACGGCGCCTTTCGGGCTGATCCTTCCTCTATTTATCAGCAGTAAGGGATGGCAGCGTGGGACAAACCCACGTCCCGGGCTCCCAGCCCAGAGCAGAGCACACACCGAGGGCTGGAAGCTGAGCAGCAGGCTGCCTTGTGCCCCATTGACCTCGTCCCCACGCATGGCGCTCCTCACGTCCTGCTTGGAAGCAGGGAGCCAAAAGGTGGCTACAAGAGGCTGGGTTGGAGCACGGCGTACTTTGACTCATCCACTGCTGGGCCGCCCGGCCCGCCAGCCACGCTGGTATTCACAGCTCCGAGAGGGGAGGGCACCCATGCGGTGAGGTTTGCAAAATCCTTCTAGTTTGACTCATGTGGAAAGAGTGAAACACCAAAGAGTGTCCTGAAAGTGGGCTGCATGGAACGCTTTTACTGCGCAGCTGACCACATTTGAAGAAAGCAGAATTTCGGACAGATTCAGACAGCCATTTTCAGTGGCTCTGGGCAGAGGTGGGCCTGGGGGGGAAAACAGCCTGCACTTGGGAACGAGCTCATCTCGTTCTTTTGTAATTCACAGCACACGATGTGGGGAGGAATGGGGCTGCTGCTGCTGCCCAGCAGGAGCCGTGTGGAAAACCACCCTGGGACTTCCATGGGGGTGAGCAATTGCCTTCACGACAAGCAAGCTGAAAAAGAGCCTAACACGCAAAGCACTGCAGCAAAATGTCGAGGGCTATTTACTGCTGCAGCGCATCGAATGAAAGTGGAACCCAGGGAGAAGCAAAACGCAGCTTTCTGGGGGAGGGTGAGTGGGAAATCCCGGCTGTGAAGTACATAGGAAACAACATCCCCGGCCCTGTGGGGTGGCACGGGGCGCTGGGGAAATGAAATGTCCCCAGGTACGGCGCGACAGCCGGGCGCCTCGAGCATCGCCGCGCGGCTCAGCCGCGAGATGCCAATCGTCTCATCAAAGCCAGCTGAAAACAAAACTGAGAAGCAGCTTGTGGTTTTACGATGAGCGTTGGCATAAAAATATTGAGATTTTAAACACCTTCGGCGTGCCGTGAGGAGACACGGGGGGCTGTTTGTGAGGTGCCTGATATTTAGCGAGGTTTGTGGCTGTGGATCTGGACAGCTTTTTGCTGCCTTCTCCTCTCCCCAAAGGCAAGCAAGGGGCCATCGGGGCCATCAGCAGGTGAGGAATTAGAATCAGAGAACCATTAAGGCTGGAAAAGGTCACCAAGTACAACCCCAACCCCACCCCCCAACCACCGTGCTCACTGCCCACATCCCTCAGTGCCACTTCCCCACGGTTCTGCAACACCCCCCGTAACCCCACCTCTCCCTGGAGTGCCCCTTTCCTTACACTCCATCCCCTAAAAGCAAGGCGCACAACAGAACACAGACAACAAGGTGTCGGAGCCCTCGTGGGTTGCGCAAACCCAGCGTGTGCCCCTTCCCCGGCGTTCTGGGGAGGTGCTGCTCGAGCAGCAGCGCTCTCAGCCCAGCGCTTCCTTTCGAGCAAAGCCCTTTCCCTCATTTCTGAGTCATTAGGAGATCTAAGCGCAGAAACACCGCCAGCTTTCAGAGCACAAATTACGGCAGGGATGAGCCCGGCAGCACGCTCCAGCCTCGCCTTGCCGCCCAGCGGCGTGTGCAGTCCCTTACTTCGTGTAAATACACGTCAGACTGTACGCATTCCTATTGACACGCACAAAGTGCCCATCGCCGGGCTGATACACAGCGCCTAAAGCTGAAAATCAGCCGAAAAATGGAGGAAAAGCCGCACCTTCGCAGCCACCCCTGGAAGCCAGAGGCACCCCGGGGTGCCGCAGCCGAGGCGGGGGCGCTGTGTGCGGGAGGAGGGCGGCAGCACCCGCGCCTGCACCGGGCGAGATGAGCTCGGCGATAACGCACAGCCAGACGGTGCCTCAGCGCCCCGTCGGGAACGGCCACGGGTGGGTGTTGGGAGTGCCGAGCCCCGGCGAAGTGTCCTGAAACACTCATTTCAGACAAGTGTATGCAAATCAACGGTATATAAGGCTAAACCCTCCCACCTGGGGTCAAACCACATCCCATTATAGTGCGGCGCTGCGCTGAGCCTGTGCCGGGAGCGGGGCCGTGCCGAGGGCTCCCCGGCTTCTCCATTTTGCAGCAGCGGCGCCCCAGCGGATGGGAGCGAGCGGGGGACCCCCAGAGCCACCCCATCCCCCTCGGGATAACCCTCCTGAGCGCTTAGGGTGGTAGATCACGGGATCGTTACGGCTGGAAAAGACCGCTAGGATTATCCAGTCCAGCTGTCGGCCCATCCCCACCGCGCCCACCAACCAACCGTGTCCCTCAGCCGGGACCCACGCACCGCCCGCATAGATCTGGAGATGTTTGCCCCAGCCGCGACGTCGGCTTTGCAAACCAAAATGCAGTGGGGAGGAGAGGGTGGGAGGGGAAGGGTGGTGTGTGTGTGTGTGGGGGGGGGGGGGGCGGGGGGGAAACAATTTGCTCGCAGCTCCGAGGCTTTGCCGGGCTCCCGGTGGAAAGGAGAAAGGCTCCCGCCCGTTATACAACAGGGATTGTTTATCCCTGGGTTAGCGATGTTTGCTTTGGAGCCTCTCCAGCCTCTCACACACGCCAGCAAAACACGCCGCGAAAACACCGAGCGCCCGCGGGCGGCAGCAGCGCAGCGCAGCGCTTCGTGCAGCGCACACGGCTGCAGCTCCGTCCAGCAGCGCTGCCCGCGCAGTGCGAAGCGCCGGCAGCCCCGGTACCCCAACGCCCCGGCCGGCCTTGGCCCGCGGGCTCCCCCCGCTGCCAGGAAAGCGCATCTCCAGCAGCGTCCCTTCCTCATCGAATCGTCTATCAGAAAACGCGTGCATCGAGAAAGCAGAAGCGTCGGCAAATAACCCTGTCGGCCAACAACCCTGTCGGTAAAAACCAAGAGCAGGGAGGCAAGGGAACGGGAGCACCGTTTCCCAGCCCACCTTCCCCAAAAGGTGATGCTCCTCCTGCGAGGTTTGGCCCCTCTGCGTCACCCCGGGCCCGAGGGGCGGGCAGTTGGGGCTTCATGGCTTTGCGGAATCCCGGCTCGCGTTAATCAGGACGCGGTGCTTCGAGCCCCAAAGCAAAGCCTGCGTGACTGCGGGAAGGTCGCGCCGAGGGATGGCGACGAAAGCGGCCCGCAGCCGAATCTGCTGACTCATTTTTGGCCGCCTGGGGAGGTGCAGCACCTCTCGCCTCCGCCATTCTGTTCCCTGGGGTTTTCCCTCTCCCCTTGTTCGAGCAGGAGCTGAATTACCAAAAGCGCTCATCACGTGGCCCCGAGAGTGCAGACCCAGTTTCATTTACCGTAAGAGCACAGGCTCGAAAATACTCCGATTTCCCGCAGAATAGAAGATCTGCACTCTGCTGGGAGATGCAGAAGGCAAGAGCTCGGCGCCACATTTTGGGTCTCTGCATCCCACTCACCTGAGATATTTCCTCGTGGGGAAGAAGCCCTCCGTGCCCGGCTCACGCTCCGTGGGGCTGCCAGTGCCAACCCGCTGCTGCACTCCGGCATCCCCACGGATCTCCTGTGCTCCCGCTCCAGCCGGGGCCCTGCAGGAGGAACGCACCTGCCTTAGCAGGATAGGATGCGGGATGCCGTGCGAGGAGAGCTGCCTTCACAAAGCAACTTTCAGCAATTGACACCAGGCGGCCGGCGCGTCCACAGGTGTGAGCAGCGGGATGCTGCGATGGATGGATTAGCAGTGCTGCAGGTTGGCTTCAGTCGGGGAGGTGCGTGGAAATAATAGGGGGGGGAAGATGCAGAGGAGCCACGCTTGCTGCACCAGGGCAGCAGCATCCCTGTCCCGTGCCATATGGATCTGTCTCATCCTTCCCAAGCTCCTGTCTGGGTTTATAGGGAGGAGCGGATCGGGGCGGCTTTCCCACGGCTGCTGGCCAGCTACAACCTTTGGGAAGCACGCGGGGTTTTTCCCATCAGAAATTGACTTTGCTATGGGAAACTGTGAGCCGGCTGGGAGCAAGAGGCAGAGATGGGGATGGGAATCGGGCAAAGGCTTTTAGCTTTTCAAATCCAGTGGGAAAACTCCCACGTGGAGTGAAGGCAGAGGCCCGAGGAAGCCCTGGGAAAGGTCTTGCTTCTGAGGGTTTGCAGCAAAACCCTGAGAAAGAGATAGGGACAGAGGCCCTGCGTGTCCCCCAGGGTGGCAGATGGCCCCAGGGGCAGCCTGGGGAGGGCTGGGGCCAGGCTACCATTGCAGGGCGAGTGCAGCCTCACGCTATTGCTTTTGGCAGCACCGCTCTCACTCTTCCACTCCTTCCTTATTTAAAGAGCGAGTCGTGTTTTCTGCCATTCCAAATAAGACCTATTAGAAGGCCAGGAGTGGAGTTGCTGAGCTCAGACTTTGAAGGGATAAACGGATTTCTTTGAAAAAGTACAGAAGAGGAAAAAAGAAAAGAAAGAAGAAATCCCAACCTCCGGCTACCTCCAGGCAGGAGGAGCCCAGCACTGCAGCACTTTGGGTGCATGTGCTGTTGGCCATCAGCCCACTGCGCTGTGCGCACCATCAGCTTTGGCTCTCGGTGGCTGCAGGAACGTGCACTTGCTGCCCAAGCAGCTCCACGGCTGCTGTAGCACCCGAGAAGGAAAAAGGGAGTGAGAGGAGTCAGTTAGCTCCCTCCCTGCTAATGGCTTCAAGATGTGGCTGCTGGAGCCTCGCGCTGGAAGTGCTGTGCTGCTTCATGGCCAGCTTGGCTGCTGCTCCAGGGACAGAGGGAAAACCCCAGGGTGATCCTGGGAGCTGCTGCCAGAGGTGTCCAAGCACGGCACCTTCTGTGCCCTAATAGGTGGAGGTGCAAGGGGTCACCCCCACTAGCATCACTCGAGCATCCCATGGACAGCAGCAGGATGGAATATGCTGGGAGAGCAGCAGCGCAGTGCCATAGTGCTCAGCCTCCCATCCCTTCCAAGGTTGGGCCCTGCCCCTGGGATTTCTCAAGAAAAAGTGAAAATCCCTTTTAGGGATGAAAGGTGCCACTGTGGGCAGGAGGAGGCAGAGGACAGCAGCACATGGGGATGGGCTGAGGAATGCTCAGCCTGCCCCCAAGAGCCTCCCACCCCAAACATCACAACAAAAAGTGAAGCAAAAAGCCTTGCTTTCATCATGGGCTGTGTGGAAAAAGCTGCTTTTCTGGCAGAACTTCTGGAGCCCTTTAGGCAGAAAGCCCTGAGCTCCTCCGCTGTGCAGGGGTGTGCTTTGCTGGGAGCTTAACAAAGAGATGGAGGTGTCAGCTAAGAGGAGATGGTTGGGTTTTTGGGGTGGGGTTTTCTCATTTTTCTTCGACTTTTCGGGAAGAAAAAAGAAGCTGGTGGAAAGCTTGAAGCCAGGGAGTGCTGGCAGTGCGCCCGGGGTGCAGCAGGAGGTGGGAGAACGCTGTGCTGCGCGGAGGGAAGAAATAAAACAGGATCTGGAGAAGAGAATTTGGGGAAGAGGAAAACCAAGAGAAGAAAATGTGAGGAAAGAAATGGAGAAAAAAAAAAAGAGGGTGCATTACTGCCCCTCATGGTGGCCAAAATGCCACGGGTGCCCAGTGTGCCAGCATCTACCTGCTCGCGGCACACGAAGCAAGGCGCTCAGTCACAGCTAAACCATGAAAGAAAAACCACAGCGACCTGAAGAGCTTCTGAGTCACTCCCTGGCTGGGACATTCCTCCTGATCTCACTGGCACACATGGGTGGCTTCAGAGCACGGTGGCACTTGGGGCTCCGGCACAGCGTGCTGGAGCAGGCGGCAATGGCTGTGCTCCCTCCTCCTGCTCTTTTCCTTTCTCTCTCATGGAGCGATTCCCCCAATTCCTGTCCCACTGACACAGTGAGGAGGAGCGGGGTGGCAGCGGTGCCGACAGAGGTCACTGTTGCCGAAGAATGGCACACCACCCAAAAAGGGGAACTCTAGGGGAAAGAAGGCATTGGGCCGGGCAGGTTTTTGAAAAAGGAACCTGCTGCAGTGGGGATGGGTGCAGGGAGGCAGGAGGGGAGAGACAAGGGGAAAGCTGTGCTTTGGGGCAGGCATGTGATGGCACTGGGTGGCTCCAAGGGTTGGGGACGCTGTGTTCTGCTCTGTCCCCATGCAGGGATTCAGATGTGAGTAAAGCAAAGGCAGCCAGCACACAGCTGGTCAGGGCGAGGAACATCCCTGTGGTTGCCCAAAGCCCACGTACAAGAGCTGGTGGGTGCAGCATAACCCCCCCCTGGGCACCACAGCTGTCAGCCCACAGCTCGAGACTGCACTCCTGGTCCTGCCAGATGCGAGATGCAGTCAGGAGAAGGGTCCCAGCTGCCCCTCCTCAATCATCCATCTCCCCAGCATGCATCTCCACAGCACCCACTGAGCAGAACACTTGCAGTTTCAACACACAGCACTCAAAGTTATCTTCACCCCGTGCCAAGGGCAGAGCCCAGCCCAAGCATCACACAGCAGCACGAGAACCACAGGCGTTGCAAAGACGGTATAAAAACTCTTTTGCAGTTGAACGCGCAGCAGATAAATGGGTTCAAGTGCAACAGAAACTCCGAGCAGACAAAGCAGCCACGCTCAGCATTTTTAGTGTCTCACAAAGCCAGCAAGCAGCACCTTACCCTGGGCGGCCGGGGGAGCGGGCACTGAGATGAGCGCGGGCTGCGCGTGGCCGGGAGCGAAGGCCGCTGTTTGTAACGGGCGCCAGAGCTGCTGAGCTGCAACTCCCCCCCGCGCTCTGCCCAGATCATTGGTCCAGGTCGCGGCGGTGGCTGCTTTCAAATTCTGTTAGAAGCTTAAAAAGGAAACAGGAAGCCTCTCGGCTTCGCGCAGCTCGCACACACGCACACCCACGCGCCCGCCTTCCTGCAGGCAGCTCCCGGCTGCGCTGCCAGCACCGCGCTGGACACGCCAACATCTGCGCTCCACAGCTCCTTCCTCAGCTGAGCTCCCAAATCTTTGATTTTGGGGTTTGGTGCAGCAGGATCAGCAGTTGGCAGCCCTGTGCTGGTGGCCAACTGCCAGCCAAAGCCTCACCTATCCCTCTGGGAAGCAACAGCACCCTCTCACAGGTACCTATGAGACTTTTGTAAACCCAGAGGAGGATGTCAGCCTCCCCCAGCCAGGAGCACATAAGGCAGACCCAAAACCAAGCAGCAGCTCCCAGAGCTTCCCCTTCCCAAGTCAGCAGTCGGCCCATTGCATTCAAGGTTTCAAAACCACCTCGAGTTTTCTGCAAAGCTTGTGCCTGGCACATTTCCCCAGTTGTGGAAATTTTACCTCTGCCCAGGTGCTCAGGCAGAGGCCATCTGGGAGGGGACAGAGTCAGCCTGAAGCCCCAGGGTTTATTAACTCACACACCAAAGGAGGTGCCTGTGGAATAGGTGGGTTTGGGTTTTCTTTTCATAGAACTAAAACCTAACGTGTCTGTCTTCAGCTGCCATTGAGGCACTGCCAGGTGCTCCCCTCTCTCCCAAATGCAGATCCTCCATCTCCTCATGCACTCCAGTCACATCTGATTTCCTGCAGCACACACTGCTCCACCCAGTGATCAGGCTCACCTTCTTCTGCAGCCCCTGCTCTGACCCAGAGCCAGCTGCAGGAGCTGGAGGACAGGCAGCCCAGGTCACTGGGAGCAGCTCAAGGGCAGTTATTCTGAGTTCTGTGCTTTGTCCATCACATCAGTTAACCTCCCTTGGAACAGAACATTGACTTTCCTGTGATAGGTGCCCAAAGTTCCAAACAGCTTTAAAAAAAAAAATGAGGGGAAGGAAATGGGATTTGTTATGGGCTCAACATGGCTGGAACACAGCTCTTCACTTCAGGACATCTTAAAACCACTGAAACCTCAGTTACTACACAAGGATTCTTTAGAAAAAAAAAAATTACAAACTTTAAGTGTTCTTACACCTTTTGCTTTCTCCATCATCACTCTTAGTTGTCTTCATCCATTTCTCCCCTCCCTAAGGCCCTCTGGCTCCCCTGTGTGAGGGTTGGGAGAAAAGGAGATCAAAGTCACTGCAGAAGGAGATCAAACTTCAAGTTTCAGAATACACAAGCCCAACAACTTGGCTCCGGCTGCTCTTCTAGAAGTAATCATTCAACCTCTGGCTGCTTTTATTGGAGTAACTCCACCTGTTTTATGAAAAATTAAGTGCCTTGCCTGCCCAGAACAAACAGAGAGCAGCCGCGCTCCAAGTTCAGTGCGCTGGGGAAACACATCAGGAATTGTAGCAGAGATGAAGGAAACACAAATGAATGCCCAATTATTTAAATTGTCTGCAAGTAGTTTCAGTTCTTGCCCAGACATAACGTAACGTAGTGGAGGCAGGTGTTTTCTCAGCAACTGACTAATTGCAGAACAAAGGTTACAAAAGGAGAGAGATGTAAACAGTGCAGTATTGAGTGTATCGTGGACAAGTTGGAGCAAAACAGTTCAGACCCAAAGAAACCTTATGCCTATAGAACAGATTCTACTTTAGGCTCCGTGAGAGGGGAAAAAAATGGCATGAATGAGACTGAAGGATCATGTCAGTTCTTGAAAAGCACACTTGGCAAGATGCAAGCAGCACGGCAGGTGGCTTGCTTTCCCTTCCAACCCAAGCCCCAAGAGGAAAAGCAAGTCTGGCATCTTCTGGGCTGCTCATCTCCTGACATCTACAGGACCTCATGGAAGCAGATTATGATGCACTGCAAGCAAGGAAGCTACAAAAACAAGGAAGTTACGTGGTTCCAGCCAAGGTCTTTTCAGAACTCAGCACAAAGTATGTACTTGAAAACAATCTTTAGTTATGAAAGTAAATTTATTATTTGTTCACTTTCACACCATTTCTTATTCTCCTAACAGTTTATACTGTTGGTCACAGTTATCACAAGGGGCAAGACTGAAGTTTGTTGTTTGTGAAGTTCCAAAAGAAAGTACATTTTTACCTGGATGTTTTTGAACAGC